TTTTTGGAAATTGGTTCATCATTAGAAGAATCATCAGAGCTTTCTGGGACAAATTCATCACCTGAATCTTCAAACGGTTCATTATCGTCTTCGTCTGAGAGACATTCCTGCCAAAGGCGATTCAGTTCCTCTTGTTCTTTTTCGTAATTCATTTTGTACAACACCAACAATTGAGATATAGTAAAAACTATGCAGGGGACGCAAACCGAATAAACCAATACTACCGTTGGACGCACAAGAATGAACAAGATTACTGCAGAGCGTTGCATTTCTGCAAGAATAAACAAGTTTTCATGTGCATCGGCTTATGATTCACATGGCCATTAGTGCAAATATGAACTATATGGGCCGCGTGAATCATATAATGCTTCTCACCTCAAAACAAAAGAAAAATTGTTTTTTTTTATGAAAATATACTTTTATTTCAAGTCAAGGGATATATTGCTGGCGTATTTTAACATAGAAAACTTTCGGCCAGCAGGATCGAAATTTGTGTGACTATTACGGCAGTCAACGTGTTAAACAGGTCCGTAGCATACTATATGATGACCAAACTGTTGAGGATTTTTTATTTTTAGTCATTCTCTCAAAATACGCGAGCATTACGTTCTCACTTATGATTTCTATCTTATTTTCTGTGCACCACTTGTTAAATACCTGGTACATGCGTGCCACAATAAGACGTCTTATTAAACTAGTATAATAATATACTATTTGTCTGTATTTTTGCTGTTTGATAATTTTTTAACAAACACTTGGTCCAACAATGAGTTCAGGCATTTCTAACGAAATTAAGTTATTTATTTTAATAGTAGAAGCAGAATATATATGGTTTTTTAAATCTTCAATTATTTCTGGAATGCATAATCGAATCGATAAATTTCCTATCAAATTTTTAGTTTCTTCAAAAACTAAGTGTCTAGTGAAAAATAGACAGAAGATCAAACAAGCCATGTAACAGAACCTCAAAACGAAACTAAATGCATGCACTTATTTATGTATCTATAACATGATTAACGAATTTGAAGATGTGGAAACATGTGTAACCGTAGTTTTAACGCAAGTAGTGAGTGTTATAACAGTAGTCGTTTATGATGACAGTGACAGTGAAGAAGATGCAATCAATGTGTTAGAAAAAAACGAAAATTTTTCAGAAATTAGTTTAGACAGCGGATTTCTGGCGGGCTACGTCACGCTTATAGGTGGAGACGCGTGAATCGCTGCGAATCAGTAGCGGGTGATAATCAGTGCATTTAATCGTCACTTATTCCATAAATACAATTAACGAAAACTTAATTCGTAAAACGGCTAAGTAAATGAGGACGGGAATTAACAGTAACAAAGTACAACTAAGCACCGTCATTCTATTTTAAACCAAACGAATTGCAGTCCATAACTGCACTGAATTCCCATCTCGCACGAGCCTGTGGCGGCACAATAACACGTTGGTAAGCGGAGAAAGATAAGTGGCTTCGTGGTCTAGTGGTTAGGATGCTTGCCCGGAAAACGAGAGGCGTGGGGTTGGAATCCCACCGAGGCACAACATTTTCCTTCGCTTACCTTCAAGCCGTACGGAGTTTAGCCTTCACAGGCCCGACAGAAATCCACTGTCTAGAAATTACCGTACCAAATTTTAATAACAGGCAATTTAAGGAGCATTTTCGCATGTTGCCTACAACTTTTGAAATTCTTCTGCCACAAATTGCTCCATAAAGTGCATAAGGTTCAGCCAGAGATTTCTATTGAAAAGCAGACCTTGTCGAGGCTGACGCTCGGTCTTTTTCCGGGAGTTTGTGTACGTGCTGGCGATTTCTTCTGGCCGCACCCTGTTTCAACTTGACAGGATCGAGGTGTTGGATCTGCGGTTAATGATCCAGACTCGATCGCAAGTCTTCAATGGTTGATTTTCTTTGACCCGGTGGCGTTTGTCGTAATCGGTTTTTTGTCTGTTTGAGTTGCTCCATTTTCGATTTAATTTGTTGAGCATCAGGTAGTTTTCGTTTCAGCTGCTCTTCTGTTGTCGGAACGCGGTCTCTCTGTCTTCGTCCAAAGAGCAGTTGTGCTGGTGATGCTCCGCATTGTAGCGGTGTGTTTCGGTATGCTAGCAATGCCAAGTAAGGGTCAGTATTCTTCTTTAACAATTTCTTGGCGAGTTTGACAGCGCTCTCCGCTTGCCCGTTGCTTTGTTGGTACTCCGTGCTACTACTGGTCCATTTGAAACCATATTCTTCCGCAAAGGATCGGAATTCTAGCTGTCAAATTGCCATTCGTTGTCACTTCTGACTTCTTCCGGTATTCCGTGATGAGCGAATATGCCTTTGAAAAATTCGATGATATCACGACTGGTCACTCGTTTTAACTTGCGGACCTCTGGGTACTTGGAATAGTAGTCCTGGGCTACGATGCAGTTTTTCCCGTTCACTGTTGCTAGGTCTACGCCAATGGTCTTCCAGGACCTTGTGGGTACTGGAGTTGGGAGTAACGGGCCCACCCCTGGTTGATGAAACTGTATACCTTTGGGGGATCTATATAGGGTAATAATTATTACTTTCTCAGTGCGTATGGCAGCAAATTCAGATTCTATTTCAATTGTAAAAGAATAAAGTTTTATTGGTTCGCACTTTAATGGATTATTCGCTAGAATACAAACTCCACCATGACATCGGGGCAATCGACAAAACCCAGAAACAACATAATAGTCATCAATAAGCAAATTTTGGCGACATTCCGGTATGGTTTATATGGGTTACATCGGGTAACTTCCCCCACCCACATTTCATGTATGGTTTTATTCATTCGCAAAAATTACCCGGTCACCTACCGTCTGCGGTATGTTATTATTAATGGTTTGTTGAGATTTGTACCAAGACTTAGAGCATTTCATGTGAAACACCAGTTAAATTGTGAAAGATGGTTGGATGATTATGTGGACACCGAATTTTATAAGTTTTACCGAATGAAAAAGGAGACATTTTATCATCTGTTAGAAATTATTCTCGAAAGTGATACCCACTTTTTGATTAAAAAAAAATATAGAGGTGGACAATATCCTATCCGTCCTGAAAAATCTTTACTATTTTTTTATTTTTTTAGGGGTATGCATTGAAAATACTTTTGGTATTCTGAAAGGCAGGTGGCGAAGACTTCACTTCATCAACACATACAACATTTCCAAAGTAATTGAAATCACAACCGCGGCTTGCGTTGTGCATAATTTTTGCATTTTAAATGCAGATATCTGGGATGGAGAAATAGAGAAAATAGAAGACGATTATGATGAATATTTAGACAACGAACAAAATTTACGAGAACTAGGACTACAAAAAAGATATAATATTATAGCCACACTGCTTTATAATAATAATAATCGATAAATGGAAAATATGTATTCAACATAAATTCGATTATAACAAAAACCTATATTATATATAATTCTTTAGACGTGATAGCATTTAACATTAGTACATATTACCTAGCATACAGTATTAGTATGTAAACAATAAAATATCAATTCTTTACATAACAAACGAAACACAACTTTTGCACCTAATCTGAGTCCGAGGCACAATACTTCCTTTTTTTAGTTAGTATCTTCATAAGATTTTGTTGTTGCTCCATATGTTGAGCCATCATTTTTTCTAATAAAGCAAAGTGCTTGTTGCGGTCTTCTCTTGTTTGTTTTGCATCCATTTTTAAAAATTCAAATAACTCCTAATTTGCACTTTTGGGTTTAGTTCTTTTTTGAGAGTTCTGAAATCTATTTTTCGCTGCTGCTGAGGTACCAGCTTTGTTGTTATCGTCATCATCTTCGTCATTATCATGGTAGATGCTAGGCGTAGTACTCGTCTCTAATATTTCTTCGAATTCATCAAGAGAATCTTCTGTTTCTTCTTCACTAAGTGTAGCGGACTGGTCCAGGGACTCTTTGACGGTTGGCACCAACCCTGTTGCAATATGAACTGGAACTCTATTTTTGCTACCTTTAATTTGTCTGGCGACAGTCGTCGGGGGGTTTCAGCGATTGGAGATCCCGAAGTGAAAATATGATTGGCCGTATTCATTTCAGGACTTATGGCTGGTGATCGAGGACGTGTAATTTCAGGAAATTTCAGCAAGTTTTAGCCACGGTTGAAATATTCGGTGGCTTGCACGGTGCAAGAATTCCTGATGTGGACAGCAGTGTCGATGCATCGATAAGTTTTCGATTGCGTCGATCGGGGAGCAGATGGTAATAGTTGAGAAAGTCCGCGCCGATAATCAGTTTGCTGACGTCTGCGATTATGAATACCCATTTCAGTGGTCTTCGGAGTTTAAAGTTTAGCAGCATTAGCTTGCGGCCGGACGTACGAATTTGGCTGTTGTTCGCTGCAAAAAGCACAGTTTCAGTGGGGCATGGACGTTGCTTACCTGAAAAGGCTTTTGGAACGACTGAAATCTCGGCTCTGGTGTCGACTAGGAATTGAATTCCACTGTTCGGGTCTGTATTGCTGTTATGTCCTACCGTCGTGCACCGCCTCAAGTGACGACGGGTAAATCAGGTTCCCGTATAGTTGCAAGGCTGGTGGCACTTACGCGCTTTATCGCCGAATGTCTCGTGGTAATAACGCAACCCCTTGTTCTTGCTTACACGTGTCCGGCTTCTCGAGTTCAAGCGGTGACGTCCGTAGCGGCCATATTTGTTTGTTATTATGGCTGCGTCCTCTGTCGGTAACTAGGTGCTCTACTGTTGGCGTCAATGCAACGAACTGGCTTCCATAGGCGTGGTGTCTTCGTCTCCAGGGGCATTCGTCGCCCTTGTATTCGCTGCAGTCGTTACGACGGCGATTCCTGTGTGTGGCGCGTTGCTAATGTAGATTTCCACCATCTTATCTGCAAGCTCCACAGTCTTTTCGAGTGTTACCCCAGTAGTTCCCGAAAGTACTGACTGTATGTTAGTTGGTAGCCGTTGGAGCCATAACGTTTTAAGGAAATCATCCTGCATTTGAGTACCAGCGAGGTTTTCATCTCCCGTAATAATTACGAGAGCTTCCTATCTCTCAGTTCCAGTTCGTTCAGGAGCTTCCGCTTTGCTTTATTGTGTCGTATTTGTTACCTTCAGGGGGATTTGCTATGATGTCGGCAACGTGTTGCAATACGCTAAAATTCAACGCCGCTACGACAGTGAAATATTTCGTGATGTTCGCCTTTATGCGGAGGCTGTGGAATTGCGCCTCCACCTGCGCGAACCACAGCTGTGGGCTTCCGCTGTTGCTAACGCTACTAACGGTGTTCACTTCTACCTCGTTCTTTGCTGTTTTCGATTCCAGAGCGGCCCAGGCGGAGGAGAGCACTTTCTACAAATAAAGGTTGAATCACAATGAGCAAGATATCTTTTAAGTTTGACGAGCTTGAATTGTTAAGATTGCTGGAAATAGTTTCCATTAGGTTTTCCACACTTTTCCCAGACATATAATTTTCAGTATTTAAGTTTTTACGGTCATCACAGCATATAATTGAGGAATCATCAATACATATATATTATGTTGTGTAAATATTTTAAGCAACCAGGGCGCTGCTACGGTAAAATCCACAAGAAATTCAGCTATTTGCATCTCCATAGGAAACCATGGTAAAGTGATGCCATGTAGTACTTACGTAGAAACTTAATAGCGACTTTATTTTAGATTATTTTTTAAATCTGTTTGGCGTGGGGTGAGATAATGATGAGTAGTCTGCCCGATTAGCGTTTATTTTACATATGTATATTAATGGACGACTGACAACACCACGTTACTCCTTGGCGCACGGGAACCGACTGCCTTCTTTCTTCCCTCCAAGGGCTTTCGGTCCATTTGAAAGTTTACCGCCACAATCTGTGTTGTCAAACTTAAAGACTAATAATGAAACTAGGTTTATATAGAACAAAAAATGGTATAGTCTTTGACATAATGTTGTAATTTCAGCTTAAATTTTCAAGTGACATTTTTGTAAATTTATAAAATTATTATTAAAAAAATAGCTGTATAGAAACATGGTTTAATCCTTCAGCAACATGAACATATGAACAGATAATAAAATCAGCGAAATGACCTTTGCACACTTATTTTTTTCCTATGAACGTACACGGCGAAGATTTAAGCTGGATACAGAAAGAAATAAATTTCCTTTTAACACCTTCCTCTGGTGTCACATTTCTGGCAGACCAAGGGCACTTTATTTCTAAAATGTCCTTATCCTTAATCCCATCTGGTGATGCACCGAGAAAAGGAAATTTTTCATCAATAAATAATCCACAGGATCTAATTGTTTTGTCAATGATTCTTTCGACTGATTCTTTAGCTGCAGCTTCATTGTCCGTACCATACTGACATGCCGTACTAAAAAAATCTCTCGAGTAAATTATATTACTGACCATGATCCTGCAGCTTGTGGTCTCCCTTATTTTGCATACTTCGCCAAATTTTGACGCAGTTAATCTTTTTCTCCTTTCAATATACCAATTATCACTATTTTGCTGAGGTCTGGTAGCGATTTGTATCTCTGCAGTTTCGATGGGAGATTTTCGCAAAGCTTCCAAGAATTCTATCTCGGCTTTCAAAAATCCCTGTTCTAACATATCCGGCTTTTCACAGTTTTATCTATAAAATTTGTCTCCCTTATGTACACCTTCCCGGTTGGTGTAAAACAACCTTTTACGAGCTGTCGAGGTTTTTTTACGTTTTTCATTTTTTTCAATGGTCCTTAGTTCAAGTTGCTTAGTAAATTCCTTGGACTAATTCCGTGGCCTAAATGCTTTCGCATTAGATAAATTGGTCTTTCCGTATTGTGGCTGACATTCTTTGTGTTGTCCAAAAACATGGCTTAGAGAATTGTCGATGTCATGTTTCAAAAAACTAATTTTTTGCTGTTTTGACAGATTTTCATGCTTTCTACATGAGAGTGCTTTCGTAACTGCCCATCCCAACCTCAAATGATTCTTCTGAAAAAATAGCAATTAAAACTGTAAATATATATTATTTTTAAACTTGCTCACTTGTATTTCTTGACGAAGATCAAGGGGTCCAGCTGTTCTATCCTTTGCTAGTTCTCGTAATTTTTTTAAATAGTTTCTCATTAAATGGTTTTGGCATTCGATTTTTTTTACCAACCGATTGTCATATGGATTTACTTCTAATATTCTTTTATAGGAATTACTGTCTCCATCAGCTATTAATTTCTCGTAAATTAATCCATACATTTCGATGCTTCTGCCAAAATATCACCTTCCATGCTCGTTGAAGAATCTGTCCAATTTTTAAAACATTTATGATCCTGCCAAGATTTATTATTTCGCTCGATAAATCTGCAAATAGTGCAGTATTTATTGCGTACTCCAATGAAAAGGATTTTCTTGGTCCTCCATCCTATAATTGCCGCTACAGCAGACAATGAGTTGTATTTATTTTTATACGATCTTTTGGCCCAACTTCCATCCGCAACCACCGTGATCAAGCCATTACCATGTACATCTACGTCTCCGGCTGCTACAGCAAGGGATTTTTCGTTTTCCGCTACTTGATTCATGCTTCTAAACTGACTTCTTCTCAAACATCACAAATTTTATCATGAATGTTGGTGAACATACGGCTGGACATACACGGGATTTCTACAGAGGCAGAGAACTGTTGCAAGTGCGAAAATCCATATCCAATTGACATAACTCCCAGCACAGTATCTTTGTTGATATTGTCTTGGCTGTTTTCAGACGTTATGTATTTGAAAATTACTATTACACGTATTACAATGGAAATGTAAGGTGGATATAAAGTGGTTTCGCTCTTCCGTAGTAATAAACATATTCTGTAACGAGCAATTAACCCATTAAAGACGAATTTTTTTTAACAAAAATTTGCATATTTGTTTAAATTTTTTTAATGATAAACTATCAGTTAATCGGTAAAACATTTATTTTTAAATTTTTGTTGTAATTTTGGTAAAAATTGATGTTGCCATATGGCAAAGCCAGTCTTTGTGGTTGCTTGAATTTCGTAAATAAGACCTTTGATTAGAACAGATGAAAATTATATTTGTGTGTGAAAAGATGTAACATTACAATTTAAGCAAAGGTCAACGTCACACTTTATGCAATAAGTTCTGATTATAGATTTACACTCATCACCTGAACATCTTTTTTTATTTTCCATATTTTTTGCCAGTAAATGACCAATGTTATCGAATCTTATATCATCTCCAACTCGCGACATTGATCTGCTGGAATTGCTGATTGATGGGCGACCGCCCTGTCGTGGCGGATTACCATATTTTACTAAATAAGTTTTTACAATTTCTCTGCGAAACTGCAGCTGAGTTAATTTATTTGCCGCCAGTTTATGTAAAATCCATGCATTCTGTACTGAAACATCTAACAACCATGTTAACAAGTTCCACCACCATTTTTTCCCCGCATAGAAATTCGGTGGCGGTTAATATTTTCGTCCATTAAATCCGTACATCCCATCGACGAATTATATTGACCAATAGCAAATGGTCGCGGAATCTGTATATTTCGTTTTTCTTTTTGAGAAAATCTTTTTACCTGACGCACAGGATTAACATCATAAGCAGTAGAAGCAACAGTAACTATGTTGCTGTCATTCCCCCGTATAAATATTGTACCATTGGTTCTGTCTAATGTGGACGAGTATTCTCCTCTTTGTTTTTTTTTTTTTCATCTGATCTTTAGTTGGTAAAGGACAATTTTTGGGAATTCGGTTCTCTCTTATTGTGCCTATAGCACCATAACCTTGATTTTTTAAATGAATAAGTAAATGTTCACTAGTAAAAAGACGGAATGGGACTATTTGGCGCGGCCGACTTGACGCGAGCCATTTTTGCGCAAAGCCAACTTGGCGCAGAGACACTTTGGCGCAAGCCATCTTGGCGCGAGTACGTCTGTATATACAGCCTGTTATTGAAAGGTACGTACAAAATAAAATCGGCAATTGGTTTCGAAGTATAGGTGCTAAAAGCTAAAAAAATTTCAGGTAAAAGTGTTCTCCTTTTAAAGATAAAAATTATTAAAATTTATGTCCAAATTCGTTGTACGCCTCTGATAAAAAGATCATTTTTCGTTTCTATAGCAACCTTTAGTCTTGACAAAAGTTTTATTATTACAGTTGCTAGGATTTACTAAAATAAATTAATTTTACCTATTTATCCTTCAGTAGCGTCTAAAAAGGTTGGATAAGGGTTAATTTTCCCCTTATAATTATGATAACACAAAATAAGTTTTTCCGACTTCTTACACTTCGCGAAGAACTGTCCATTTTGTTGTACGTACCTTTCAATAACACCCTGTATTATAAAAAATCTTTATTGTTCGTACTGTGGTTGACACCCTGTTATTTATGCCAAGTGTAGGCAACCAAAGTTTCATTCGGACAAATTCCATTTCCACATTTCCTGATGGATGGAAAAGAGCGCGAATCACACCTGTATTCAAAAAAGGATATTCTACTAATCTAAAAAACTACAGACCGATTGCAATACTATCAAACTTTGCTAAACTTTCTGAAACAGTGTTGTATAAAAGTATCTTTGTTAATCTCCAAAGTCATGTATCTGCATTCCAACATGGATTCTGGCCTGGTCGATCAACAGTTACTAATTTGTGTACTTTGACACAATTTCTCTCCGAAGAATTAGATAACAACGGACAAGTGGATGTTATCTATACAGATTTTTCGTTGTTGTGGTAACAACCCGATACACATAAACTCATTAGTCATTATACAACTGTTTTAACAAAAATCTTAACTTACTTTCCGGTAAAAATTCTAACAATGTGCCATCCTCCAACGCAAATACTTTTTTCCGAAGTTTCTTCCATTTTCAGCACGATTTTGAGAAATGTCAAAATTAAAAAAAATAAATTCTGACCAGCTTAATCCGCAAATGTTTGTGACCTCGCTCAAAATTCATCGCGTAAATGGAGGACATCTAAATCGTTCAAATGTCAAAACCTGAACGACTTCAGATCACATCAGTCGCATTTTTTGATTTACCGAACGCTTGAATTTCAAAAATTTGCTATAGATGTAAAAACCGAAGTCACCCAGTAATTTTGTTGAGTTCCCTAAAATCTATACATAATCGAATGTCATCTGTTTTTTCTTACTAAAACAATGGGGCTGCAATAAGGGGAGGAACTAGGTAGAATAATTTCTTGTGAGAGGTCATCTAAAATCAACTGTAATTTTTCTTTTTCAAAAAATCAAAGTTGGCGAGGTCTAAACGTGATTGGGTTTTCATGAGTCAGAACAATGTTCATGTCAAAGTCGTCACTAACCTCATGTTTACCAAATTATAACCCATA